AAAAGTTACAAATCTTTCAGGTTTAAGTCTCACTCTTGCAATGATAAAACACCTTTCCCTTCACCAGTACTTTTTTTTCACCACCAATAACCCAAATATACCCCCCTCCCACCCCTCCCAATGCCTGTGAGGCAAATGAATTCTACTTAACTCTCTGTCTACTTTTATTACATTCATTATTTTGACAAAAGATGCACCATTATTGTTTAGAGTTTACACCCAACAATCAGAACTGCTGAAAAGGCATTGTGAAATAATTTGTTTTCTACAACTGGTTATGGTTTTGGATTTCTAATATTTTACTTATTATGTCTGGAGGGATTTCTGCCAAGAGCCAGATAATTATTATGAGATTGGTTTCTGTGGTTCTGGAGTCATGGTCGTGCTGGAGAGCTGCTCGTGAGGGGCAACTCTTGACCTTGGTAGGGTGTGAAGGATGAGCCAGGAACGCCCCCCCTTCCCATGAGATTGCAGTTGCCCCGTTACTGCAGGCTCATACCTGGCTTTCCAATAATCTCTGAGGAGGCCGCCATCTTGCTGCCCGGGGGGGAAAATGGCAGAAGGGAGCGACACCCCTTCCCTCCTGGGGAGGCATGGTACAGTAGATTAACACATAGTCCATTCACTTTTCTGCAGCAAGCTGCCGGGCTCTGCATTAAGTCCTTGTGCCTCTGGAGCCATGGTCATGCTGGAGAGCCGCTCGTGGGGGGTACTTTTTTTCCATTTTTTTATAATTTTATTTATTGAATCACCGTGAGAGCAGTTACAAAGCCTTCGGGTTTAAGTCTTGATCATACAATGAAACACCCATACCTTCACCAGTGCCCATTCTCCACCACCAAAATCCCCAGTATCCCCCAATCCCACACCCTCCCCCTACCTGTGGGGCAGATGATTTCTACATTACTCTCTCTCTCTACTTTGATTACAGTCAATATTTTGACCCCAGACCCACCATTATTATTTGGAATTTTACCCCAACACTCGGATCTGCCAAAAAGGCAATGGTAGACAATTTGTTTTCTATTGCTGGTTATGAATAACATATGATGTCGTGCAGCGGCAGTAGTAGCCGTGTGATTTTGAAATTCCGAAATTTTAACCTTTAAAACTGGATGAATTTCTGCCAAAACCTGCTGGGTTCCAAGATTTGTTCCCACGTATCTTGTCACTGAGGGTCCAAACCTGACTGTCCAATGGCCTCTGGAGGATGGCGGCCACTAAACCACCAGAGGGAGCAGGCGGAGGGACAGCACCTTTCCCCCCTGGGGTGGCCTGGCGACAGTAACCAACTGCGGGGTCCGGACCCATTTCTGCCAAAAGCCTCTGGGTTTTGAGATTTGTTTCTGAGCCTCTGGGATCATGGCCATTAAGCAGCATGATCAGGAGCCAGAGAGGCCGTTCGTGGGCAGCAAATCGGGGTCTCTTTGGGACAGGGAGGAAAGGGCCGGCTTCACCCCCATCCTGTGAGGTCCCACGTGTCTCATCACTGCGGGCCCAAATCTGACTGTCTAGTGACCTCTGGAGGATGGAGGCCACCGGCCTGCCAGGGGAAAAGGCCAAGGCACGAAACCTATTCCTACCAAGCGTGGCCCGGCAACAATAACCTACTGCAGGCACTGGATGCATTTCTGCCAAAAGCCACTGGGCTCCGAGATTTGTTTCTGAGTCTCTTGGATCATGGCCATTAAGCAGCTTGATCAAAAGCCAGAGAGGCCATTCATGGGCAACGACTTGGGGTCTCGTTGAAACAGGGAGGAAAGGGCAGGCTCCACCTCCATCCTGTGAGGCCCTGCGTGTCTCGTCACTGTGGGCCCAAATCTGACTGTCCAGTGGCCTCCAGAGGATGGTGGCCACCCAGCCAACAGGGGGAACAGGCCAAGGCACAAAACCTATTCCTACCTGGGGTGGCCCAGCGCCGGTAACCTACTGCAGAGACCAAACGCAATTCTGCCAAAAACCGTTGGGTTTTGAAATTTGTTTCTGAGTCTCTGGGATCATGGCCATTAAGCAGTTCAATCAGGAACCAGAGAGACCATGCCTTCAATTATATAGCTGAGCAGGAGGTGGTTTATTGGCGTGTCTCCCACATAACTAACTTTTGGCCATTTACTTTCTTGGTAAACTTTGCCCCAAGTTTTTGGGGTCTGGCCAAAGGCACAGCAGCAATTTTGGGGTATCTGGGAGTCTGAAGGCACCATCAGGCTGCTGATGCACTCGCCTCTCAGGTACAGATTGATCTGCTGGCGGCACCATACCCCCAGTTATTAGAATTTGCTGAATCATTTGTCCCTCCATAATTACCAGCAGCTCAGGCTTAAATTAGGTCATTCTTCCTTCCTCTAGACAGAGAGTTTATGAATATGTAATTGCCCATCACCCTGCAACCTTCGTTTCCACCCACCACAGTGCTCTCCGAGCACACCTAATTCCCAAGGGATTCCCAATTTCCAGTGCTCATGTTTAACTTCTCCTTTGTGCTTTATTTTCCTATAATAATAAATACAATAAATCATTTATTGTATTTTCTATTCCATCCCTGTCCCTTCACCCTGAATGGAGCAGTTTCTCTTTTCCTATATTAGCACTCTTTGATCTCAATAAAGTCATCATTGGTCATTAGTCTTCCATCCATCTGCTGGGGGAACGACTTTTCCTCCTGAACGCACCCGGGAACATGGCCACCAGGTCTGTGTCAATAGAGTATCAGACGCCCAATGTTGTGGCACTACACCCTTCACCAGTGTCCTCCTCCATTCTCCAATGTCCTTGTGGCCTCTCTCACAATATCCCCACATTCTCCCTGCCTCTCATCACGGTAGGCTTCCAACTAAAGACTGCTTTCAATTTCTGTTGTCTTTGGCCATTTGTTATTCTCCTACTGTGTCTCTTTATATCCCACACATGAGATAGTTCATTCTGTGCCTGTCCTCTTTCTTACTCATGTCACTCAGCATAGTATTCTTCAGATCCATCCACATAGAAGCAAATTGCGAGACTTCTTCTTTTCTAGTAGCAAGTACAATCCTTGTATATATATATATATATATATATATATATGTATTTATATATATATGTATTTATATATATATGTATTTATATATATAATGGTTTCTTTTTCTAGATATGTGTTCTTAGACCCTTGGTTTTCCATATTTTGGCTACTCTGAATTGTGCTGCAGTGAACATAGGAGCACACATATCTTTTCTGATTAGAGTTTTGGGGATTTGGTGTAGATGCTAAGTAATGGAATTGCTGGGTCACATGAAAACTCAAGCCTAGACAAAAACTATTATTTGAAGGTGATTCTCACATCTCGAGAAATGACTGCAATGTAGAATGTGAAATTATAATCTTATAAAAGGAACTGATTATAGGTAGAATCATTTAAAAATATTAATTTTCTTCTCTTTTACATGAAAATATTTAGTATTCAAGAGACCTTTCAGGAATGAACTGTCATAGGCAGCATTTACCACATTAAGTAAATTAAAGGTAACAGACTTTTAGAATCTTACACTTCTAACAGGCCGAGGAACCCAGGTGTGCGGGATCTGGGGCTTAGATCTCCAAGCCTGCTCAGATTGGGACTGGGGCCTCCTCCACCCAGATGCCGCATCTTCCGGTATGAAGGCATTACACCCACCAACTGCCCCTGGCGCCGTGTAATCCCATCAACGGCCAAGACCCAGAGACTATAAAACCCTGCTCCGGAAGACATCTTATCATCAAGTTCTTACTCTGGAGAACCTGGAAGGCTACCCAAAGTATCCTGCCCACACGGCAGAGTCTGGCAAACTCCCCATGGTGTATTCAGTAAGCCAAAAGCCAGTAACAATGATGAGTCTCATTCTCCTGATCCTGAAAGAGCCTTGAATGTGGCACTTTTGAAAATTTCAGTGCTAGGACGAAGGAGTCGTTACTGGGGCCTACTCGAGGCAATCGATGAACAACAGGATGACAGTGACAGTGTGATCTATTAATCAATATTAATTTCCTTCTATTTTAATGAAAATGTTAATTATTCAAGAATAATAAAGTTTCAGGAATGAACTGTCATAAACAGCGTTTACCACATTAAATAAAATTAAAGGTAACAGACTGTTAGCATCTTACACTTTTAACAAGCAGCTGTCTTGAATAAATTCTTTTCAGTTACTGCTCAGTGCAAGTTTGGCTAATAACTATGCCATTTATAATTATGTTCATAATCATAGCAAATTAGCCATTTATATGGAAGAAAAATAATTAACTTCTGTCCGAATGCTAACTCTCTACAATCGACATTTGCGTTTATCATTCCCTAAACTAAAATCCATTTCCACAAAGAAGAATGACTCATAGATAAATTTTTAATTTATGGTAATGAATGCAGGGCAGAGTCTGGCAAGTTCCCCGTGGTGTATTCGATATGCCAAAAACAGTATCAATTATGGGTCTCATTCCCCTGACCCCTAAAGAGCCTCCAATAGTGCTAAAATCTCAGGGCTGGAATGAATGGAGACATTACTGGTATCCGTTCAAGCAAATGGATGAACAATGGGATGACAGTGATACGGTGATGGTAATGAAATTCTATTCATATAATTTAATTTTTATTGACTACATGCTTGCTTGCTTTTTGGAGTCTCACTATTGAAAACGTAATTTGACAGGTCCTAATATGCAGACTATGACAACAGGAAGACTATTGCAAATTCATGAAATGCAATCTCTTGTAATTTGCATGAGAACAGTGTTTAACTCAACATTTCAGTTTTCACTGACTAAAAGGTGATAACTATTATTTGCCCTGGCTACAAAACCAGACAAACTGTTTGAAGCAATCAATTGGTTTCATACTCGTCCATGCAGAAATTATCTTTTTTCAGAGGGACATTGGGAACTCCTGGGAAAATATCAAAACAAAAATGATGACAATTGAAAAATAATTCCATGACTGAGGAATTTATCAGCTCTAACAGTTTATCTGGAGTCACGGTGAGACATCTCTACCAACATGTTTACTAAAGAAGAAATCATCTTGACTATTATAATGGCTGGAGAATCCATAATAGGCATTTTGGCAAATGGGTATATTGGACTAATCTTCTGGATCGACTCTGTTAAGAAGAAAAAGATCCCCTCATTTAACTACATCCTCACAAATCTGGCTGTTTCCAGAATTTGTTTGCTCTTCATAATAGTAGTAGGTGACATTGTACTGATACTCTATCCAGATTTTTATGAAAATGTTAAACTAGTGATAGTATTGAGTGTCTTCTGGATATTCACCAACTACTCGAGTTTGTGGTTTGCCACCTGCCTCAACGTCTTCTATTTACTGAAGATAGCAAATTTCTCCAGCCCACTTTTCCTCTGGCTAAAATGGAGAATTGACAGGGCGACTTTCTGGATCCTGCTGCTGGGCTTGGCCGTTTGCTCCTTGAGCAGCTGTCTGACAGCAATACCGAATTTTTATAAAGACAGTTATGGGTTTACAGAACATCAAAGAAACGTCACTGAAATGTTCCATGTGAGTGAAATTGAATATTTAGACCCATCAGACTTCTTTAACCTTTTGGCAATTGTCCCAATTGCTGTGTCATTGATTTCATTTTTCCTGTTAATTTTGTCTCTGTGGAGACATATCAAGCAAATGAAACTCAATGCTTCAGGCTGGAGAGACCCCAGCACAGAAGCCCATATTACTGCCATGAAAAATGTGACTTCTTTTCTCTTCCTCCTTTTCCTGTACTATGGGGCTTGTCTTTTAGTAACTTACAGTAACCTAATGAGAGGAAACATAGTTTCGGGGCTTGGAAAGATTATAGAGATTCTCTACCCGACTGGCCACTCTCTTATTTTAATTATTGGAAATAGCAAGCTGAAACAAGCATTTGTCAGGATACTGAGATGTGGTGGGGGTGTGAGGGGAACAGCCTGCCTAATGTAAACTAGTAGCTTCATAAAATGGACTTTTAAAGCTAATCCTGTTGCCAAGTTTTTATAGGTTCATTTCATTTATCCATTTATTTCATTACCTTTAGATACTTATCACTGATATGATAGCCAATGTATCCTTTATGTCACTACCACAGACATTCTTAGTTCTATTCTCACCTTCTTTCAGGAATCTGAGTTCACACGTCTTGTCTTTTCATTTTAAGTGTTAAAAATATATAAGTTACCCAGGATGGGAGAAGCATGCTGAAAGTAGACTATAGATCAAACAGGATTGCCACTCAATGCCTCTTTTGCAAACCACAACACCCAAAAGGAGAGAGAGAACAGAGGGGAATGCTCTGCCACAGAGGCAGGGGGGCGGGGGGGATGGGGGGTGGGAGGGACACTGGGACCCGTGGTGGTGGGAAATGGGCACTGGTGGAGGGATGGGTATTTGATCATTGTATAATTGAAACCCAAGCACAAAATTTGTAAGTCTACAACTGTACCTCATGGTATCTCACTAATAAAAATAAATATAAATAAATAATAATAATAAATAAATAAATAAATAAATAAAGATATATAAGTTAATTAAATTCCTTTAAGATTTTACTTTGATTCAGGGCTAAATGCATCTGAAATTCTCTCTTTCTCTCTCTCTCTCTCCTCTCTCTATCTTTCACTTTGAAATGAGAAATTCATTTGCTTTGATGTTTTCTCACTCTTATGTATGATAGAGCTTCACTGATGACCTTTGAAGTACCTCCCTCATAACTCACCTGGGTCAGTCCCATCTGACGGACGTCACGATTAGGAACTCAGATCTCCATGTGCTATTTTTGGTTCAGTTTTCTGGTTGTGTACCCCTTTCTTTCCAAATGAGTGATGCTTTAGGTTAACTTCCAGGTATTTTTTCCTGATTGACGTTTTCCAGGCACCTTTTATTCATTTTCCTAGAAATTAAAAGCAAATTTCTCTTCCAAACACAAGGATAGGGATAGTACCTACCTCATTAGCTCTTGAAAGGGTGTTCCATTCATCTTCAAAAAATGAATAACAGGATTGGAAAAACCTGATATCCATCTGTTTCATTCGGGTTCCTTTTTTAAAAATTTTTATTTGTTTCTGAGCCACAGCTAGGTAGTAGATAATGCTTTATTTAAAAGACTTATGCTATGTAATTGTTCATCTGAACAACCAAGATACAAAAACTTAAGCCTTTTAAGAAACAATAATCTATATTGAACAGTAATCTTTTAATTTCACTAAAAATCTCTAACTCCCAGACTTCGTATTTTTAGCTATAATTAATATTATCATCCAATGAAATCAAAATGCTTGTACAAACTTTTGGGGGAGCCAATTTTTTTTGTAGGAGTATTGCTGTTTATTCATCCATTGATTAGGCTGTTGAAATGGGTATGAATTTCACCTTACTTTTTTTTTCCTTCTCTTATAATTTTATTTATTGAATCACCATGAGAGCAGTTACAAAGCTTTTGGGTTAAGTCTCGGTCATACAATGAAACACCTGTTCCTTCACCAGTGCCCATTTTCCACCGCAAAAACCCCAGTACAACCCCCATTCCATACCTTCTCCCGACCTGTGGGGCAGATGATTTCCACATTACTCACTTTCTTCTTTGATTACATTCAATATTTCAACACCAGACCCACCATTATTATTTGGGATTTTACCCCAACACTCAGATCTGCCGAGAAGGCAACAGTAGACAATTCGTTTTCTATTGCTGGTTATAAATCAAGATAACGATCATCCTGTTGTTCATCGGTTGCCTCAAGCAGGCCCCAGTAACGTCTCCTTCATCCTAGCCCTGATATTTTAAAGTGCCATATTCAAGGCTGTTACAGGCTTAGGAGAATGAGAACAATCATTATTACTGGTATTTGGCGTATTGGGTATGCCACGGAGATTTTGCCAGACTCTGCCGTGTGGGCAGGTTACATTCAGTAGCCTGCCAGGTTGTCCAAAGTAAGAATGAGATAATAAGATGTCACAAGGTTGCGAATGCGGCCCTGTGCTTCCGGGAGCTGGGAATTATAGTCTCTGGGTCTTGGCCGTTGATAGGGTTACACGTAGACAGGGGGTCAGCTGGTGTATGTGACCCCTGCCTACTGGAAGATGGAGGATCTGAGTGGAGGATGCTCAGCCCCGATCCTAGCAGGCTTGAAGATCTCAGTCCCAGGACCCGCATGCCTTTGTTTCTCTGCCAGTACCTTCATGTGTGTGGAGAGTGGTCTCAGCATGGTTGTGGCTGGTTCTGGAGGTCTTCGGCTGCCAGACCTCTGTTCAGGGTGGGGAGGAAAACTCAACCCGCCCCCCTCCAAGGGGCCCCGGCGAGGACAGTCAGGCGCAGGGGCAGGAGACTCTGTGCTGTTCTCTTCCGGAAGCTGAGTTTTATAGTCTCTGGGTCTTGGCCATTGATGGGATTACACGGTGCTGGGGGTTCAGTTGGTGGGTGTGACCCCTGCCTTCTGGAAGATGGAGGATCTGGGTGGAGGATGCTCAGCCCCCATCCGAGCAGGCTTGGAGATCTCAGCCCCAGGACCTGCATGCCTTTGTTCCTCTGCTGGTACCTTCATGTGTGTGGAGAGTGGTGTCAGCATGGTTGTGGCTGGTTCTGGAGGTCTTCTGCTGCTGAAGCTCTGCTCGGGGTGGGGAGGGAAACTCAACCCGACCCCCTAAAAGGGGCCCCAGCGAGGATAGTCAGGCGCGGCGGCAAGAGACTCTGCGCTGTTCTCTTTCGGGAGCTGGGTTTTATAACCAATGATTTTGGAATTCCAAACTTTTAACAATTAAATCTGGAAGGATTTCTGCCAAAACCTGCTGAGTTCCTGAGTCTCTGGGATCATAGCTGTTAAGGAGCCAGAGAGGCCGTTCATGGCGGCAACTCAGGATCTTGTTGGGGCGGGGAGGAAAGGGCTTGCTCCACCCCCATCCCTTGAGTCCCTGCATATCTCAACACAGAAGGCCCAAACCTGAGTGTCTAGTATCTTCTGGAGGATGGCAGCCACCAAGCCGCCAGGGAAAACAGGCCAAGGCACAAAATCTATTCCCACCTGGGGTGGTCCAGCGCTGGTAACCTACTGCAGCACTGGATGCATTTGTGCCAAAAGCCGCAGGGCTCTGAGATTTGTTTCTGGGATCATGGCCGTTAAGCAGTTCTCTCAGGAACATGAGAGGCCTTGCCTCCAGTTATACAGCTGAGCCGGAAGTGGTTCCTGGGTGTGTCTCCCACATCCCTAATTTTTGGCTGTTTTCTTTCTTGGTAAACTTTGCCCCAAGTTTTTGGGGTCTGGCCAAAGGCACAGCAGCAATTTTGGGGTATCTGGAAGTCTGAAGGTGCCATCAGGCTGCTGATGCACTCGCCTCACAGGTACAGATTGACCTGCTGGCAGCACCATACCCCCTTTGGTGCCAGTTTTATAATTTGTAGAGAATCCTTAAAGATTGAGATACCAAATAAAATGTAGGCTGCACAACTAAAATTGAATTTCACTATTTCCTGGAAGCAATGAAGTTAAAAATTTGTGACATACACTAAAAAATAATGTATTGTTTATTTGAAATTATATTTTAACTCAATTTTTGTTTGTTATATTTTTGCATTTTTGTTTGTTAAATCTATTAGTTTTGTTGGGTTCTTACCATGTAAATCATAGATTTATAAACATAAGATTTCCAAATCATAGGCTCAAAAAGACATGCGGGGCAATTAAGGCAATAAGCCTAATTTGCATATTAACAAAATGTAACTTAACTAAATAAATTATGCAGAAAAATAAAACACACAGAGAAGATTTAAGGACATAGAGGTGCCAAAGTTAAACATCATCATCCCTATTGTTTTGTCAAGACGAATCAGAATTTCATGAACAAAGACCAACCGGTATCCACCAGAAGACAGAATTACAGTAAAATCTAAGAAGTAGCTGTAGATGTAGAACTCCACCCTTTCAGTTAGAAAGGAATTGGATAATCTGTCATATTTTTAATATGTCAGGTGAGGTGAACAGCACCTTAATGATCATAGCAGGTGGAGAATTCTTGATGGGAATCTTAGGGAACACATTTATTGGACTGGTAAACTGCTTGGACTGGGTCAAGAAAAGGAAGATGGGCTCCATTGATTTAATTCTCACATATCTGGCTGTTTCCAGAATCTGGCTACTGTGCATAATAATGCTAGACTGCTTTATGTTGGTGCAGTGTCCAAACGTCTATACCGCCTGCACACAAATGAAAGTCTTTGACTTTTCTGGACACTCACCAACCATCTCAGTGTGTGGTTGGCCACCTGCCTCAGGTCTCTTCTGTTTCCTCAAGATAGCTAATTTCATGCATCCCTTTTTCCTCTGGATAAAGTGGAGAATTTGACTGGGTGATTCTTAGGATCCTGCAAAGGTGTGTGATCCTCTCTGTTGATCAGCCTTGTTGTCACTGTGAATTTGAATGATGATTTCAGGTACTGTATCAAGGTAAAGAAGAGAAGAAATGGACCATTGAAGTGCAGAGAAAATAAAGGTCAGTATGAGTCCATCAAGATATTTCTCAACCTTTTAACAGTATTTTCCTTCTCTGTGTCACTGGTCTCCTTTTGCCTCTTGATCCTCAACCTGTGTAAGCACACCAGAAAGATGCAGCTCAGTGGCAGCGACACAGAGACCCAAGCAGAGATGCCCACTTGGGTGCCATGAAGACTGTCATCACCTTCCTCCTCCTTTTCATTGTCTATTGTTTGGCCTTTCTTATAGCTACCTCCAGCTACTTGAAACCAGGCACTGAACTAGCTGTTTTGGTTGGGGAATTGATAGCTCTAATTTATCCTTCAGCCTATTCATTTATTCTAATCCTAGGAAATAGTAAATTGAGAGAAGCATCTCTAAGGGTGCCATGGAAGATAAAGACTATTCTAACAATAGAATCGATTTGAAGATTCTCAATTTCTAGGAACAAAAAAAAACAGATATCTTTATCTGTTTCCA